GGCAGATGTTGGCAATGGCAGATAACATAATAATGTTGCTATTTTCTGACATTTATCCGGGTAAGTATGGGAAATTAGCAACAATATCAGTTTAATAAGAATAATAAGATCAAAGAATTAATAAATTCCATTCTATAATTTAATCCATCCTAAAGGCATTGAATTTGCTTAAGTCCGTCGGGTTGCATAATGGACTTAAGTTTAATTAAATTTATTTAAGTTTTAGTGACAGAACGTTATTGAATTTTAGGTAGAAAGTAATATGTTATCACTGGTAGACTTGCCCCCGTAGCATGACTACGCATGATAGTCGCGACGCGCGCCATAAAATTGAAATAAGCGCGCGCTATTGGCTATCTCAATTAGATGTAATATAAATAGCGCGCTATTGGCTGTCTCAATCAGATGTAATATAAATAGCCAATAGCGCGCGCTTATTTAAATTTTATCGCGCGTGTCGCGACTATCATACGTAGCCATGCTACGGAACAAGATTATTCCCATAGTGTCCTCGGATTGGTCCCTGGGTCGTTTCGCATTCTGCTCACCATGTACAGATGTGTGTTTAGGGGGTTCGCAGTACGCACAATACATGAGGGGATTACGTGCAGATGTGGATTCCGATACACTAGGAGTGTCGATAATAGCTAGGTAGAAATCGACTAAGGAGAAGATCTTCACCTCACTCCTCCAAGACTGCCAAGTTACGACAACTAACTGCTAAGCGCTAAGTGGAGTCAAATTATATATTTATACAAATTAAATGTCATGTCAACTTTTTATCATTTATATAGCAGGTAAATTAAGTTTATATTGACTTTTATTTAAAGTTAACCTTTTTCCAGAAAAGCTTTTTTAATAGAAATGATTTTTGATGGTCGGATGCATTGGTGAGAAAAGCTCCATTAATAACGGATTTGGATAGGATATTATACAATCGGTTGCACCGACACCACTTTCTACGTCACTTTCTCGTACTACCCAAAAGAAAGCACCTAAGACAAACCATGTAAGTTGAAGCAAAAGCGGACCAACTATGGTGATGTGTTACGGTAAGCGAGTTTTCATTAATTCATTTACTTCAGATAATATACCACCTTATATATATCTTTAACTGCCTATCCGTTCATTGATAAAAAATTACTCAAAATTTTTAGAATGCATACATAACTGTTCGAGCGAAATAGATATTGTTGTGTTGACGGAGGTCAATCTGAATGATAGCATTAGCTCTCTATATGAAATAGATGGCTACACAATGTATAAAAACCTAAGATCTAACAGATAGGGTGTTGGAATAATTGTATATGTTCGACAAAATCGCGAATTCTCTATTACGCAAACAAAATTGAAATATTTTGAATGTATTACAGGTTCGGTTAAAACACAATACTCAGACAAAATTAGGTACACTTTGCACCATCTACAGGCCACCAAACACAAACAAATCACTATTTATATCTGAACTATGTAACATATTATCATCTTCAAAACATAACACAATACTTATGCGAGATCTTAACATAGATCTAAAATCTGAAAATTACATCAAAACACTCTATATTGACACGGTCTCGGAGCATGGATTGTCCTGTGGAATTTCTGAATATACCAGAATAGAAAAACGTGAAGATGTAATAACAAAAACGTGTATTGACCACGTATTTGCAAAATTCCAACCAGACTTCGACGCTCCGCCGTACTCGATACAGTTCTGGTGGTACAATCGTATGACAGTGCTAACTTGTGTTGGTAAGCAGTGTACATGATATAGGTGCATAAACGTACATATGATATACATATATACATTGTAAAATATGATATCAAAATATTAAATAAGTTGCTGGAGAATATAGACTGGTCCTGTACTAATAGTACAAGTATGTCATCAAATGAAATTTATAATTATATTACAGAACGATTCCATTATACCTGTGACAAATATAAATGTATAATACATGTTAACCCTAACGCCAAACGAAACCGTGAAAAACTCACTCACTATGCGAGAAAAAGTACCAGTTATTTAAAAAGTGGATAAAAGACCAAACTGACAAAATATTGAGAAGGTAATGCGCGGGGATGCGTAATAAAACCAATAAAATTACAGAATACGGTAGAAATAAGTACCTTAAAAAACAAATCATAGAGAGCAAGACTGACACTAAGAAGCTGTGGCAAATATTAAATAAAATTTCTGGAAGAGTAACGAAATCTGTAGATGATGTAATAAAGAAGGATTCGATACTGCTAATAAGGGAGAAAAAAATATAGCTAACAACTTTGCCCATGACTTCAACAATAACGTCAAGAAAATTATACCAAATTGTACAGTGCCGCTACTGAATGAAACAAACTATCTTAAACCCACGGATATCTCTATATACAGTAAAAAAGTAAGTCCCGACAACATTATAAAAATACTTAGGAATTCAAATACGCATAAAGCACCAGGAGGTCATGATCTAATAAGATCTAAAGATATTAAATCTATATCCAACAAAATAGTAATCGCAATAACTAATCTCATAGAAGTATAGAAACCGGTATTTACCCAGATGAATTGAAAACAGGAGTCATACGTCCAATATATAAAGAAGTAGTCACAAATTATACGAAAACTATAGACCCATCACTCCATCACCGATTTTAAACAAAAATATGAAATGTACATAGCTGGGCTTGTACATACTTTTTACGAAAAATACGAGATACTTTGCGACAGACAGTATGGATTTAGACCAAAAAGAGGGACAAACATTTTACTTTCGGAATTTGTAGATGGTTTAAATTCTCATCTTGTATTTATTGATTATAGCAAGGCATTCGATACGCTGAAACACACTACAATGGCTAAAAAACTTGCATGCACTGGAATTAGAGGCCCGTTGTTGGAGTGGTGCAAAAACTATCTGGAAAATCGGCATTATATGGTAAAAGTGGGAAATACATACAGCGACCTAATCAAAGTATCAGAAGGAACAGCTCAAGGATCCGTTCTAGGTCCTCTACGAAATCTTACGTATGTCAACGATGTGATGAATGTCATCAGAAACTGTAAGTTATACCAGTTTGCAGATGACACTTGTATAGTTGCAGCAGATTCTAACCTTGACGTTGCTTACAAGCAAGTGCAGGAAGACTTTGATTTCCTAAACAAATAGTCACATGATGCCGGTCTTGTTCTAAATGCACAAAAAACTCATTTTATGCACATTCACTCTCCACACAACACTACCAGTGACAGAAGCATATTGATCGCCCACAGCCATGACTGCCTTTATAATAACAGAATCTATAGTCTCGTATGGCATAACTAGCTATGGACGTACCTTTAAAGCTTATCTAGACCGTGTATACATATTACAACAGAGATTATCCAAAACTATTACACCATTCAACGAGAAACATAAATACAAAGAAAACCCTATCTCGCTTTTTAAGAAACATAAAATCGTACCTATACACCAAAAAGTACAAGTTACTGACAGCTGAACAAATACACAGGAAGAATCTTCAAAAACCGATCAATTACACTCACTTGATGAGACGAGCTGCGAAAGACAACTTAACAACAACAGGTGCAAGGAACTCATACGGCCAGAGAACTATTGAATATCAGATATTCAAGACTATTGAATCAACGTCCAGATGAGCTGCGACAAAAACGTAACGTAATAAATGTGAAGAAGGAACTCAGAAAATACTACATAGACAGATTACCTTCATTTTAGATAACAGACGGACAGACAACGAGGCAAACCAGTAACAAACATACACACACACATATACACACACGCACACACGCACGCAGACAACTCGGCGTAAATGGCGAGATCACTGCGTCGGCTTCGGTAGGCGAAGTAGTCTGCTGAAGGTCGGCAGAAGACTCGGTGTAAATGCGCCATTATTCACTCACTTGTACCAACTGTATATACAATGGTTGCAATAAAAGATATTCTATTCTATTCTATCCACACCTCATGTTTCGACTCATTTAAATATTTGGTGGCAATAAAAACATCTCATAAAACCCGGAAAAGGCAAGAAATGCATATCGATAAAGTTTTAACTACTAATGAACGACTATTGTACTCGTGTCCAGGGAATAATTTTAGCCTGGCCTTGTACTCTCCACCTCCGCGTCCGAAACATTTACTGTCAAATGAGTAATACTCCACCAAATATAAAAACGCATTTTGCGAATGAAGCGTCACACTTGACATTGTCTTCTTATTTGGTCGAGTATTACTTATTTGATAGTAATTGTGGACGATGTGATAGTAAAAGTGGACGTGTATGTTGGACGAAGAACGAGACTAGACCCCCTGGTGACAACAATAAAGAAAACCGCTTTGCGAGTTTACGTAATGAGAAACACAGGGAGCAATCAACGGATAGTAGTGGAAGAAATCCAATGTTGCCAGTCGTGGAAACGTCTAATAGCTTGCGTGTAGCTCACAAAGAGGTATTTTATTGGTAGGTAAAACCATAACATTATTTTGTGACCAAAAATTTCATAAGGGTTTTACAGTTTACTTTTAAATTTTGTTTTGATTCTTGCTGATGTCTGTTAATAGGAATAGTATCTATAATGGTGATATTTTAAATGTCTTAATTTCCAAGTCATGAAATATATTTGTGAAAAAAAAACCTTTTTCATGCTACTTTTAGCTTTGTTTAAAGGGTTCATACACCCTTTAAACAAAGCTAGAATTCATTGTTTGTTTTCCATTCTCTAAGGTTTATGTGCTTCAGTAGCACTGGCATGTCAGTGGCATTAGTAGTAGTCCATGTATCAATGTAAATATGCCAATAATATCAGGTGAGTAATTTCATTCGTTCAATTTTATAGTCTGTTGATTGAATGATCAATTGCTTTGCTTCACACTTCACTGCACTGGAATAGATAGACAGGCAGACAGAAGAGAAAAAAAGTAACATCAAAAGCGAAAATATTGCAAGTGGCTTTTTCACGTTACATATTTATAATTTTTGATTTTTTAGTTTATGAGTGGCCTAAATTGTGCAGAAGAAAATCGAGAAGGAGGTGTTTTTAAAACATTTAGTCAGAATAACTATGGGCTTTGAAATCAAAAGGTTTCAAGGTGACGTTGACGAAGAACTTATTTGCCCTATTTGTTCAGGGGTCCTCGAAGACCCTTTGCAGGTCTGTGGTCTTTATTCGTGCACTAAATTTAATAAACGTCTAGTGTTTATAATTGTGTGTGATAATTTGTGATTGTATGCACGTAGGCTCCAACCTGTGAACATGCATTTTGTAGTGCATGCATCAGAGAGTGGATAAGTCGGCAGCCAACCTGCCCCGTGGATCGACAGGCAGTCACGTCGAGTCAATTAAGACCAGTTCCTAGAATCCTACGAAACCTGCTATCCAGGTAACCAGTATTGTTTTGTAAGACCTTGTTATTGACTAACTTTTTAGGTCACACATTTCAAGTTGTTTGTTATTGTATAACTTGCTACATGTGCTTATGTGTGGATATGGGTTATGTTCTGAAGTGAATGTGAGTGGGATATAGTGATGGTTTTACTTTATTTTGAATACTTTGTTGAGTTACTAACATTGTGATTTGAATGAAAATGCTTTCATACATATTATTTTCGAATTTCGAAAGTATTGTGACATTAACTATCATACAAATTTTGGTATTACATAAATTTTCTTTTAATATATTCATGATAACAATCATAAATACTTTATTTCTATCTTGACGCTCTTAAGCCCACAAAGGTTTATTTCAGTATGAGTTGCAATACTTATTCTATATATCTTACATTAGTTATGTTATATGAAATATGTAACAGTCCAAAAATAGTTTAAAAATTGCCTGTTGAAAGCTGAAAAGTTACACTCACTCTTTTTCGAATAAATGTAATATGTGCAGCCATAGCCACACTCTTTCAATAAGACTTATTTGTCCTATTAATGATCTCAGAAGAAGAAAGGTCTCATTTCTCTCTTGATATTGCTCAATGCATTAGTGAAGTTAGAGCATGAATATGAACAGTCGGGAGATTCAACAGATACAGAAAGAGCAGGAGTACATCAATGATGACTATTTGAATCAAACACAATTAGAACTTGTGCATAAAGGAGATTTGCGTCAGATTCTTTTTAGAAAAACTTCAATGATAAATTACACATAACTTTTTTATTTTGATTTATATTTTCAGTGAGATTGTACTTTATTATTTGATTCAAGCAAATTTGCCTACAGTGTATTAATACTGGTTGAATATGGCCACCAATAAACGGCCAAATAAGTACCTCTGTTATGCATATTATACATTTATACACTTGTCCAAATAGTATGAATAATAACGACCTAAAGCAAAATAAATTAGGCCTTATTGATTTTCAGACTATGCACAAGTTGCGACAATGCGCCACATGGTTGCAGTGCTGTATTAAAGCTGGATTCTCTGCAGTCTCATCTTTTAGAATGTAAGTAACACTGCTGTGTTAAAAAAAAACCATCATGAAGACACATGGAATTAGCGTTATGCTACATTTTACGTACATTAAGTACACTATATATAACACAATTTAAACTAACCAGTCCCATGGCTTTACACACTGGTATAACAAGTCAACAATACAGTCCTTATTTTCTGCCATTCCTTATATTAAGGAGCATTATGATTATTATGTATTAGTAGTTACAAGTACTTATTTATCGAACTCTGTCAGCTCATGCGGTTTCAGTAGCGGACTATCTATGCAGAGGCTCCCAAACTGTTGCATCTGGTAGACCATATGCCAATATTTTATTTATTAAAATTTTTACATATTTTTGTAAACTTATTAGTTACATGGCGGCGCAGCAAAAACCTGAGTAGGTTTATCCCTGCACCGCATGTCCCAAACAAAAATGTCCCAAGTCAACCTATTTAAACATAGTGACATGTAAAGGAATATGAAAAAGCTAAAATGATGAATTTAAATTGTAATGTCATCGCAGTACTGTCTAATTTTGCTTGTTTCGCTGTCAGTCGAACAAACGAAGGCTAAAGCGTGAATGACGCTCTGTATACGATTTTAACGCCCTATAAGTTCGGACACTTTTTACCGCGGACCCGACGTCCATATAATTGTAAGTCAATGACTTCAAATGTGTGTTTGACAGCTGATGCAATGCTATTAAGGGAGTAAAAAAAAATATGTTTACTTTTGTACTTTATATGTCTGTTATGTAGATATATAACAGACATATATAATATGTATGTAAGTATATGTATAAGAAGTATTATACATACATATACATACTAATCGCTGTCATGGAACCCTGTGAGTCTATATAGACAACTTTGGGAATCATCGACCTAGAGTTTGTTGTACCACAAGCTGTTATCCTTCATTTTGCCTGTTATGATTAGCTTTTCCAGGTTTTCTGGTCTAATTATTACAAAACTATAATGTAATAAAAAATATAAAAGGCTGATAAGAAATAGATGATGTTGATAAAACTATTTTTATTATCAAGATTGTATAGTGTTTCAAATTATAAATGTGTGCATTTTAGTAGCAGTTCTGATAGTGATCGAGGCTTAAGGCTTAAATTGTTTTTTTTCTTCCATGATTAAAGTCGTTGTAGTGTGTTCAATAATATAAAAGTGTTGACAGTTTTTGCGTTTTCGAAGTCATTGTCCATCTATCACAGCATAAGGAGGTGCATGATTTATTAACAGTTATTTTCAATGTATTTTGCTTTTGCCATCACTATGCTGTATTATTAAACATAGGGTATACATTACAGATAACATTGATGGGAAATGATTAGTATCATTTCAACAACTACAACTAACAAATAAATAAATAAATTAAAATATTTATTCGAAAAACAGCGTAACTTATTTTATCTTTGATAATTATCAGAACATTTATCAGAGAGTAAATTGGTTGATGTAATGATTTAAACGTTTTTTTTTTCGTTTCCAGTCTTGTTCGGGTTAGAAAAACTAGTTCAAAATTTCAAGGAATCAATTTAAAAATCTCAAACAAAGTTTTTCTTTTTTAAGTTAAAATGAAATAAAATGTCAAAGTCAAAGATTATTTATTCCATGATTCCATAGGTAAAATAAATTTACACTTGAAAACGTCACATTTAAGCTACTGCTCGTTCACTACTCTGACCTCCCTGAGAAGAACGAGCAAGAAACTCTAGGGATTGCTCTTTTCAAATAAACTTAAATGCTATGGAATACACTTTGAATCAAATTTGTGTGGATTCTGGAGCCATGTCGTCTTTCCATACATCTTTATCTAACACGTAGTCTTCAATTTTGTAATATGATTTTTCGATCAAAATACTTTTAATGTACTTTTTAAACTTAGGAAGTGATAAACTTAATATATGCTCCGGAATCTTATTGTAAAAACGTGTACAGTTCCCCATAAAAGAGTTGTTTACCTTCGTTAAACGAAATCGTGGTACGTTAATATTAGGGGTTAAAGTATGAAATTGCCGTTTTATTGCAATAGG